CAACTCAAAGAGTTAGAAAGAGAGCAACAAGAAAAGCCCAGTGTAAGCAAAAGGAATGAAATAATAAAGATCAGAGAGGAGATAAATGACATAGAGACCAAAAAACACACAACAATACAAAAGATCAACAAAACCAAGTGCTGGTTCTTTGAAAGGATAAACAAGATTGATGACCCTCTAACCAGGCTCACTAAGAAGCAAAGAGAGAGAACCCAAATAAACAAAATCAGAAATGAAAGAGGCAAAGTAACAACCGATCCCACAGAAATACATATGATTTCACTGTGTCCCATAGATTTTGGATATGAACAACTCTATTCCAACAAAATGGACAACCTAGATGAAATGGACATACTCTTAGAAAAATACAAGCTCCCAAAACTCAATAAAGAAGAATCAAAAAACCTGAATAGGCCGATAATTACCAAAGAAATTGAAGCAGCGATCAAAAATCTTCCAGCAAACAAAAGCCCCGGTCTGGACTATTTCAAAAAATTCAAGAGGAAGGAACACTTCCAAGCTCTTTCTATGAAGCCAGTATTACCCTAATCCAGTGATGGCGAACCTATGACACACGTGTCAGAGGTGACATGCGAACTCATTTTTTTGGTTGATTTTTCTTTGTTAAATGGCATTTAAATATATAAAATAAATACCAAAAATATAAGTCTTTGTTTTACTATGGTTGCAAATATCAAAAAATTTCTATATGTGACACGGCACCAGAGTTAAGTTAGGGTTTTTCAAAATGCTGACAAGCCGAGCTCAAAAGGTTCGCCATCACTGCCCTAATCCCAAAACCAGATAAAGACTCCACAAAAAAAGAGAACTACAGGCCAATATCCTTGATGAACATAGATGTTAAAATCCTCAACAAAATTCTAGCAAATCGAATTCAGCATTACATTAGAAAGGTCATACACCATGACCAAATGGGATTTATTCTTGGGAGGCAAGGATGGTACTATATCTGCAAATCAATAAATGTGATACATCACATAAACAAACTGAGAGACAAAAATCACATAATCATATTAATCGATGCAGACAAAGCATTTGACAAAATCTAACACCCTTTCTTGATAAAAACTCTCAGCAAAGTGGGAATAGAGGGATCATACCTCAACATAATAAAAGCCTTATATGAAAAACCTACATCCAACATCATACTCAATGGTCAAAAACTAAACTCATTTCCCCTACGAATGGGAACAAGACAGGGATGCCCACTTTCACCACTCTTGTTCGATATAGTACTGGAAGTGCTAGCCATAGCGATCAGACAAGAAGAAGAAATAAAAAGGCATTCAAATTGGAAAGGAAAAAGTAAAACTGTCCTTATTCACTGATGACATGATACTATACATAGAAAACCCCAAGGACTCCACAAAAAACTACTGGACCTAATAAGTGAATTTGGCAAAGTAGCAGGATACAAAATTAACACCGAGAAATCTATGGCCTTTTTATACACTAATAATGAACTCACAGAAAGAGAAGCGGAAAAAAAACAACAACAACCAACACACAAAAAACAAAACAAAACAAAAAAACAATCCCATTTACCATTGCACCAAAAAAATTAAGATACCTAGGAATAAATTTAACTAAGGACATAAAAGACCTGTACTCGGAAAACTACAGGGCATTGAAAAAAGAGATAAAAGAAGATATGAACAAATGGAAGAATATACCATGTTTATCGATTTGTAGAATCAACATCATTAAAATGTCCATACTATCCAAAGCAATCTATAAATTCAATTCAATCCCCATTAAAATACCAACGGCATACTTCAAAGACCTAAAACAAACTCTCCAAAAATTTATATGGAATTAAAAAAGACCCCGAATAGCTGCAGCAATCTTGAGAAAGAACAACAATGTAGAGGGATCACAATACCAGATATCAAGCTATACTACAAAGCCACTGTTCTCAAAACTGCCTGGTATTGGCACCAGAACAGACATATAGACCAGTGTAACAGAACAAAGAACCTAGAAATCGACACAAGCCAGTATGCTCAATTAATATTTGACAAAGGAGGCAAGAACATACAATGGAGACAAGACAGTCTCTTCAATAAATGGTGTTGGGAAAACTGGACAGATATTTGCAAAAAAATGAAACTAGACCACCTTCTTGCATTACACATAAGAATAAACTCAAAATGGATTAAAGACTTAAATGTTGGAGTTAAAACCATAAAAGTCCTCCAGAAAAACGCAGGCAGTAAAATCATGGACATTTCTCTTAGCAGTATTTTTTCTGATATATGTCCTTGGGCAAGGGAAACAAAATGAAAAAGAAACAAATTGGACTACATCAAAGTAAAATGTTTTTTGCACAGCAAAGCAGACCATCAACAAAAATAAAAGACAACCCACTGAATGGGAGAACATATTCACCAAAGATACATCTGATTAGGAGTTAATATCCAAAAGTTATAAAAACCATACAACTCAACACCAAAAACAGAGAGTTCTGTGGTGTTAGAGGCATAAAGGTGGGTGTCCTCACATGAAGACTCCTGCTCACAGTAGTGGGATGAAGAACATTTTCTTAATTCTGGAGATACCTGAGAATAATGGAACTGTCAACCCAGATTAATTTGTATTGATTGCCATTTACCATTTTTCTGTGCAGGACAATATAAAGACCCATTTATTTACATTATTTTTACCTGTGTTACAATTTTTTAAAAATTGCTTAATCACCACCATGTCTTCCAAAGGTTCTATGAAAGAACAAAGAAAAAGAACCAATAATTTTCCAAATTGATATCTGCAGGCTTCTTTCTTAACTCCTTTAATGACAAGGTGGCTTTATGTACTTCATCCTTTCTATAAAAAAGCCATTTAAAGCTGTTAAAAGGCTTGGGTTTTATTTGATTAATGCATTGCTGTGTACAGAAAATGTTAGAAAGCATATTTAGAAGACTGTTACTCGTGCTATCTAAGTGACAAAACCATGTTTCCTACTAAATATGTTTTACTTTAACTTCGTGATTTTTTTGTGGTCTCAAAGTTCTGCTTGATTTTTCAGATCAGAAAAACATTCTAGTATAAGACAACAGGTAGATATTTCTAAATTGGATAAAAACTTTTATCCTAACTTCTCTTTAAAAATGCTACTCACTAATGAATTCTCACCAATCAGAATATGAATTTAGGCTTGTAACATAATTAATTAGGTGCATTTTCTACATTTCAGAGGATCATGAAGATTACACACTTGTTATGCATACTATAAATTTAGGTCATCCTTTCTACATGATTGGAAATATATGTATGTATTTTAATCCTCACAAATTAAAAAATTAAATATATGTATATAAGTAAAAAAAAAAAGAAAACAAAAGAGAAAGTTTCATGTTTAATATTAAATGGCTAACCTCAAAGGAAAAGTAAAAAAAGCTTTGCTAAAAATAAAAGAACTTCTAATGTAATATGCATAACATTTAAGTATAAGGAACTTAACCAGTGAGTCACTTTCTATGAATTTTACCAAAATTAGTAATGTTATTTTATAATGGATTTTACTGTAAAAATGGTAAAAATGATTTAAGGAGGTCACAGTGTTTCAGTGTTTTATCTCAAAGTACAATTTCTCTTTTGTTAAGCTATTGAGACCATTAGCAATTGATGGCTGTTAGGGTTTGATAAAAAGAAGGTACAGAGGTATGAAAACTCATATGAAAAATATTTGAAAGAGCTTTGAAAATTATAAAGCACTACCCCTAAATGTAGTATTCATAATTTAGTTTACATTTATATTACAGTATATTTCAGTGTTTTTTTATGTACTTCTCTTTAAACCCAAAATTCACCATAAAATATAATTCTGGGCTTAGAAATGACCTATAGCAGTGGTCAGCAAACTGCGGCTCGTGAGCCACATGCGGCTCTTTGGCCCTTTGAGTATGGCTCTTCCACAAAATACCGACTTCTGCGCATGGGCCACGAAGTTTCAATCGCACTGTATGTGCGCGCCCGCATGTGGTATTTTGTGGAAGAGCCACACTAAAGGGGCCAAAGAGCCGCATGTGGCTAGTGAGCCGCAGTTTGCCAACCACTGAATAGGATACCTAAGAATGTTAGTTACAAATGATGGTTATCAGAGGTAAATATTTTTAAGTTTACATGTGTGTGTGTCACAATATTAGTACATGTACACATATACATATATGCGTCTCACAGAAGGGAAGTGCAATGATGTCTGTAATTTACTCTGAAAAGTATAAAAAATCAGATAGGTCTATGGATGAATATATAAATATGTAGTAATACAAGTATAGTAAAATGTTAATAGAAATGAGGTGGGCAAATATATATATATAGATGTTTTCTGTAAAAATTTTCAACTTTGCTGAATATTTAAAATTTTTTATGATAAAATGTTAGAAAAACATTGTCATGTTATACAGTATAAACAATGAAAAATACCAGTCAATGTCATGTTACTTTGTTCTTCTTACTATCTCACTTAGGATGATAGATATGTAATATGCCATATAACTCAAAGACTGGAAAGTATAAGTTCCTAAAATTTAAAGCATATATGCATAAACCTTCAAAATTCCACTGATAATTAAATCTCTGCTTTTAAAATGTGCTAAACCATAAAATCAAAACAGACATGTTTCAGAGAACTGGTACTCCTTTAAAGAAGATTACCAAAAACAGATCGCTTTCTCTGCAAAGTAAATGTGCTAAAAATTATAAATATGAATTAAAAAATTAGAGCATTAAATAAGACTAGTACGAAGGAGGTCAAACTGGATGAAGTGGTTCTTCCTGTGATAGGAAAAGTAAGATTCAAAAGCAGTTAAAAAATAAAAATGCCTCACGAAAATTCCTAGATCAAGGATAAATATAAAAAAGGAAGTAATTTTGCCCTAAGCTAAAAGAAATTTTGTCCTTAAGTTATCTGAAAGAAATACAACTAAACGGGCCCAAATGTAAAACTCCTAAAATACAAGAAAGCTTTTCAACATGATAATCTGTCTTTGCTCTTTGTAGAAAGTATGAAACTTGCTTACCTAAGATGGCACAGAAAAATAAAGATACAATAGTGATATCTGTAGCATCCCAATTTTCAAACATTAACATATTTACATACCTAATATTATTTTTAAGAACTTTTGAGCAACTGAAGCATTTAAAGGTTGTGTAAGTCTTTTCTTCATTGTCAACATCTCCTTCATGTTTTCCGTAGTAAAAGTCACTAACTAACATGATCAATTTTTCTTTCTCTGCACCAGTCTTAGTTTTCTTTTCAGTACTTGAAATTTCTACTTTAATCATCTCCAAAAATTTATTTATCATGTCTGGACAACAACGCTGAAAGAGGAAAAAAAATAAGCCACTATGAGTTTAAGCCTGAGTGTTGAAAATTAAAATGCAAGACTAAGATTTTTCATTAAGTAATGTGACTGACATACATGTCACCATGGACAAAAAATAAGGTATAAAGGGGAATTTTAAAATTACATGTAAGATTAAGCACCTAATAAAATATTCTGATTAATACATTATTTTCATTAAAAATTAAAATATAATGTACATATGCTGTAGTGCATATAAACTTAATTTTTAAATTTGATGCTTCATAAGGATTTTTAAATCTTGTATGAAGATAATCATTATGAATATCAATTTTTACTGAAGTTATATGAAAATACCAATGAGGAGATTTCTTACCTAAGTGTCTGGAGAAATTAGCATTTACCACATATCAATTCTTAATATTTTCAGAAATTTTTTGGATATTTCTAAAAATAAAATTTTGAAAAAGTTTTTACCTTCATGTGACATTTCAAAGCATCCAAATTATTGAACTGAACATTGCACTTTGGACAAGATCTTTGAAAAGGCTTTCCAGTTTTATGTTCAGTTGATGAGGTACCTAAAATAAATTAAGGATTATTATTACTCAATTTTTTTTCTTTTTTAAACCTTAAACAACCAGTAATAATAGTTTTAAAATTTATCACAATTTCTAAAATTTAAATATAATTTCTTCTTTATATGCCACATTCATATTTACCTTTTGATGTCATAATTGAGGAGGATGTCACTGAAGGAGAGCTGTCTAAAGATAATGTAGCACATGAACCTATTTCAGAAACACCGTCACTGGTCTTTGGCTTTTTTGGATGAACTCTGTTTGCTATAATACTAGGACGTTTTCTTATAGGCAGAGTTTCACCCACAGCTACAATTTAAATAGTGAAAAAGATATTTGTAAATGCTTTAGTATATAATAGAACATTGCTTAAAAATGCTAATAAAATGATCTTACCTTTAAAACTAAGTAAAAGTACTTCAGAGCTAAATTAAAGGTAATACAATTAAATTAGCATATCATACAAATGACAATAAAGAATGATAAAAATTTATATGGTAAATAGGTAGAAAAAATTGCACAGCCAGCCGGCGTGGCTCAGTGGTTGAGCATTGACCCATGAACCAGGAGGTCATAGCTTGATTCCCAGCCAGGGCACATGCCTAGGTTGTGGGCTTGATCCCCAGTATGGGGTATGCAGGAGGCAGCCAATCAATGATTTTCTCTCATCCACTGATGTTTCTCTCCCTCTCTATTCCTCTCTGAAATCAATAAAAACATATACATATGCATATATATATATTTGTTAGTTCTCAACCGAGGATATTTTCCCATTGATTAGACTCTAATCTATGTGGTTCTCAACCTTCCTAATGCTGCGACCCTTTAATACAGATCTTCATGTTGTGGTGACCCCCAACCATAAAATTATTTTCGTTGCTACTTCATAACTGTAATTTTGCTACTGTTATGAATCGTAATGTAAATATCTGATATGCTATATGTGTTTTCCGATGGTCGCGACCCACAGGTTGAGAACCGCTGGGAGAGAAACATCAATATGTTTCTCTCACATTGATTGATTGCCTCCTGCATGTACCCTGACCAAGGCCCTGGCTGGGGAGGAGCTTGCAATCAAGGTACATGCCCTGACTGGAATTGAACCCAGGACCCTTCTGTCTACAGGACGACGCTCTATCCACTGAGCCAAACCGACCAGGGCAATAAAAACAGTTTTGTTTTTTTAAAGAAATTGCACAAGCAGCTATTATGGAGTACACATATTTAAACTCATGAAATAAACTAATACAAAAAATGCTAAAGATGCTTTCGAATAAAGAGGTAGTATGAAAAAGTCAGACCAAAACAATCCCCAGAAAAAACTTAAACCACAGAGAATACTCTAAGCTCAGTTCCAAATATGAATTTATTTTTAGATGTGTCAATACATTTGAGCTTGTAAGTAAAAACAATTTCTATTCTAAAAATTAGAGAAACCCTTTAAGATACTTAAAACGTAAGATGTCTAATGGAAAACTCAAGTTGGTTCTTTTCCCACTTAACAAGTTGACAGGTAGTTTAAATAATCTGTTTATTCCCTTTAGTCTAATGGTTCTGTCTTAGGGAATATAGTGGGCATGTCATATCACAATTTCTAAAATTTATATATAATTTCTTTTTTATATGCCACATTCATATTTACCTTTTGATGTCATAATTGAGGAGGATGTCACTGAAGGGGAGCTGTCTAAAGATAATGTAGCACATGAATCTCTAGGAATTACTGGAGATTCAGATAAAGAAACTCCCCTTTAACCTTTTTAAAAAATTAGACTTTTAAATAAAATTTTGTTAAATACAGATTTCATTGCTAAAAAGTTTTGAGTTTGAAAACCATCACCTTAAAGGCTAAACGATTACGCAATTCAGGGCATTTGCAAGAGAGGTGGGGTTATTTAGGCTATAACCAGATCTAGCAAAAGTCCTTTTGAAAATAACACACAATTGTACTTTGTAATAAAAATTCTAAGACTTCACATTATATTTTAATGTTCCCAACTGTACACTAAAGGAGAAGTAGTAGCATAAATACATTAATGGGTTCATTCCTCTGTCATATCTGTGTTTTGTTCTTTGAGATAACATAGAAATGATTTTTTACATTTTCAAGCACATAATTACTGACAGCAATACTGCAAACACCTGGGACTGATTTTTTTTGTAATCACACTAACATTCTTCTCAGATGCTTAGGTTATTAGAACAACTGATGATTGCTGGTGTTTTGGACTAGGCCACTGATTATCTAACAGGCTGTATAGCAAAAATATACTTTTATATATAATTTTTTGAAGTATGAGTAAATCTCCAACTTAAATAAAATTATTTTGAGCTCAATAGTTTTAAATTCTGACTCTTTAACTTATTTATATCTGTTGCCTCTGCCTTGTTCACTATCCTCATTCTGCAAAATCAAATTCAAATCCAAACTTCTCCAAGAACCTTCTACAATCATCCTAGACAGAAGTCCAGTAATCTTTTTTTTCTGGATAGCATATATAAGCATTCATAATTATCATGTTAACAACTGTTTATTGTCAAGTCCTTTAAGACTTTAATGTATTTCTCACTTATCTCATTTGAGCCTCAAAAAAGCTCTGAGATAAGTAGAGCAACAATTAAAATTATATCTCCAAACAACTGATTTCAGGTCTGAAGAATGAATGCATTATGTGAGAAAAACAAAAGCATCTATTTTAGTATTATGAGAAAATTAGGTGTAAAGAAGTTAATTATAAAGAACACAGAAATCTTTAGAATAGAGGCTGAAACCTGTATCTTCCTAATTAACTATAACCCTATTTACTATTAGGGCAATATTCCAATCCTCATAGCACTACAATTATAGAGAGAGTAGGAGTCACTGTCTTTACCCCCTGAACAGAGGTTCTTAACCTGTGGGTCGTGACCCCTTTGGGGGTCGAATGACCCTTTCACAGGGGTCGCCTAAGACCATCGGAAAACACATATATAATTACATATTGTTTTTGTGATTAATCACTATGCTTTAATTATGTTCAATTTGTAACAATGAAAATACATCCTGCATATCAGGTATTTACATTATGATTCATAACAGTAGCAAAATTACAGTTATGAAGTAGCAACGAAAATAATTTTATGGTTGGGGGTCACCACAACATGAGGAACTGTATTAAAGGGTCATGGCATTAGGAAGGTTGAGAACCAGTGCCCTAGAAGCTTCAAGAATTCAAGCTTTTTCTATGAAAAAAGACCATCCTATATAATAAAAGGGTAATATGCAAATAGGCAGAACAACCAAACAATCGAAGTGTTATATGCTAATGATATGCTAAGGCTTCTCAACCACTCGCTATGATGTGCACTGACCACCAGCGGGGAGATGCTCTGACCGGTAGGTTAGCTTGCTGCTGGGGTCTGCCAGATGGGGACTGAGTGAGATGGGCCAGACATGCCCTGGAGCCCTCCTGCGATCCCTCCCTGGCCTGATTGTGCACCAGTGGTGTTCCTCAGCCTGGCCTGCACCCTCTAGCAATCCGGGACCCCTTGGGGGGGATGTAGGAGGGCCGGTTTCAGTCCGATCCCACAGGCCACTCCCTTTGGGAGGGCACCAGACGCAGGGCTTGCTCACCTCTCCCAATCGGGACTGATTAGGCAAGAGCCAGCAGCAGGCACAGTGGGGCCGGAATGAGCGGGAGCGGCAGGTAGGAGCCAGGCAGTGTTGTACTGTGGGTTTCAGCCCGATCCCTGCAGGCCACCCAGAGGGACCCCACCCATGCACGAATTTGTGCACTGGGTCTCTAGTGTACTTTATAAAATCAGATTTTAGACAAGTACTTTTTCTCCTCATTTATTTTGGATCTTGGCTATTTTACTAACTATATAAGTGACACCTAGATAGGTGACTATCAAGTCAAGTATTTTTTAGAATGGGAAAATATTTTTTGGTACACATATTACTAAAAATTTCTTACCGTTTTGATTTGGTAAATGCATACTAATTTGTTAAGTAAACAATTTAAACATGCAAAAATTTCCTCTCTCCATTTAGTGAAATATATCAAATTTGCTAATATAGAAATAGTAATTAATTTGATTATAAGGAATTTTCAACTTGACAAAATCCCTTCAAGGCATACTAGTTTACTTAACAACAACGAAGAACTTTGTTATGGTATACCATCAAAGAATGGTAATTCTTTTTCAATTAGAAATTTTCATTATTCCTTCAATGGGTATTTACTGAGTACTTACTATGTGCAAATCAATGTTTCTTTAGTACTGCCATTTTATAATACTACTCTATAATCATATTTAACTATCACTTCTACATAATTTATTTGGATAGAAAGACACTAACTAGTCTATGAAGAAATCAACTATAACCACACAATTTTTCTCATATTAATGACCTCCCAAATAATTAATATTTAAAAAATAACCATAGCCGAACCGGTTTGGCTCAGTGGATAGAGCGTCGGCCTGCGGACTCAAGGGTCCCAGGTTCGATTCCGGTCAAGGGCATGTACCTTGGTTGCGGGCACATCCCCAGTAGGGGGCGTGCAGGAGGCAGCTGATCGATCTCTCTCATCGATGTTTCTAACTCTCTGTCCCTCTTCCTTCTTCTCTGTAAAAAATCAATAAAATATATTTTAAAAAAAAATAACCATAGTATTAGGACACCAAGGGACTTCTCTGACTCACAGCCTATGGTGGGTCCAAGTGAGAATGAGCTGAAAGAATACATATTAGTCAACTTAATAAAAAAGAAATGAAATATTCTATTATTAAATACAATTTTATATAAAACCATCCAAGAAAAGCATCAGAAACTATTAACTTCCATCTTACAATGTATGAAAAACTTAAAGGTATGAGTTTCAAAACAGACATTCATTCTATATGTATATTAATCAGTTCTCTCTTTATTATATTTCTAAAAAGTGATAAGCCAAACCTTCTGTATAAACTTTTGATCCGCCTTGGGATGGTGGTATTGTGTCCTGGGTCAGGTCAAACAGTAAATCAGAAGAATCATCCATTTCAACTTGCGATGAACTCCTTATAAATGACTGTAAAAGTTACAATTATTTTATTTCATAAACATTTATAAAGGTAATTTTAACTGTATGCCACTATCATAAAAATAGCCTTAATGATTCAATGACTAATAAGTTATAAAACACAAAGGTAATTATTACTCTGTCAAATTAGCATCTACCGGATAAAGAATATATGTGAACTCTCTGGATTATTACAATAATTTTTCTGGAAATCTAAAATTAGTTTGAAATAAAAAGTTTAAGTTAAAGCAATCACATTATTGGCAAAGTAGAGGTTATATTTTGGTAAACTTTTCTGCAAGAAAATTTTGGCAGTATCTATTAAGGGCTTTAAAAAGTTCATATCTTTTGATCCAATTATTTCAAATATTCTGCTTTCACGAATTTATGCTAAGGAAATGAAAATATTTAAAGGAAAATTATTTGTTATAGCAAAAAATCAAAACCTGTATGTCCAACAATGGAGGAATGGTAAAATAAATTAAATGACATATTATCATGCAACATTATGCTTTTGAGAAATAACCAATGACAAAGAAAAATGTTTCCAATATAAATTTCAGTGAAAAAAGAACAGATATGTGTATAAAATATAATCCTAATTGATTATTATTCTATATACCACACTAACCATTTGCAGAAACAATAGCAAAATACGCTTGCATTCTCTTCTGTTTCTTTTCTACCTCCCATATATATTACCTTTAAAATGGGAATATAAGAATCTTGAGTGTTTTGTGCTTAAAATTGAGACACAGTCAGGTTTTAAGAATCTTACTTTGCTCCTAAGTTTTCTGTTGACATAGGTTTCTTAAGTAATGGAGACAGATATTGAAGTGACCCAAGCCATTCCATTCCTAAAATTTGAGGCATAGCAGGCAGATTTCTGCATTTGAGTCTTAATGTGTATTATATAAAATCAACAATGACTTTAGACTTAATTGTAACCAAGCACAATATTACTGCAAGATAAATTTTTTTTCAAAATATCTGCCCTTAGAAATGGAAAATATTCACTAGCAATGGTCCAAAATAGTTCTTCAACAGAAGTTCCTCCAAATACAGTTAATACTTTAAACTCTTTCCTAGGTGATGACTCCGGTCAATTAAGTACCACCATTTCAAAGAGCGGACACATTATTCAACAAATAACATGTTAAAATAATTCTCCAATTGGGAATTACTGGAAATTCAGAAGACCTGTCCATTTATTTAACTATGAAACCTTGGGCAAGTCACTTCTAAGGTTCAAGTTATTCAACTTTCCAACTGAAATGAGAGCCACCAATTATTGTCTATTTAAAATGTACTTGCCTCTTTCACAGTACATGTATTCTACCAAGTAGTTGTCATAACAGTACTAATAAAGACCTAATATTATCTCTTATTTTATAAATAGGTAAGCTTAAGCATGGTTAAGCAAGGTTACCAGTACAACCCAGCTCTGGCAAACACCTTGATTGCAGCTTCATGAGACCTTGAAGCAGAGGACCCAGTTAAGCCATGCCATGCCTCCTGACTCACAGAAATCATGAGATAATAAGTGTATATTGCTTTAAACTTCTAAGTCTATGGTATTACTGTTATGCAACAATAAATAATTAATATATGTGCTTTGTAAGTCTTTCTTTAAAGTAAAAATGGCATTCCATTACAAAAAAAAAAAAAGACAACGGGCCCAACTGGCATGGCTCATTGGTTGAGCATCGACCTATGGATCAGAAGGTCATGGTTCGATTCCCAGTCAGGGCACATGCCTGGGTTGCAGGCTCAGTCCCCAGGAGGGGACATGCAGGAGGCAGCTGAACAATGATTCTCTCTCATCATTGATGTTTCTACCTCTCCCTCTCCCTTCCTCTCTGAAATCAATAAAAATAGCATAGTTTTCAATATTATACCTATCCTATATAATAAAACCCTAATATGCAAAGCAACCGAATGGCAGAACAACCCATTACTATGATGCGCACTGACCACCAGGGGGCAGATGCTCAATGCAGGAGCTGCCCCGATGGTCAGTTCACTCCCATAGGGGAGTGCGGCTCAGCCAGAAGCCAGGCTCACAGCTGGCAAGCGCAGCGGTGGTGGTGGGAGCCTCTCCTCCACAGCAGCACTAAAGACCTCCTGGGGGATGTCCACCTGCCAGCTTAGGCCCACTACCTGGCTTAAGGCAGCAGGTGGACATCCCCCGAGGGGTCCCAGACTGCAAGAGGGCACAGGCTGACCTGATGGACACTCCCCGCTCCCCAGTACACAATGTCGTGCTCTGGGCCTCTTGTTTAAATATAATTACCTGATTTATTAACAGGTTGGATAGTTAGTTCCTACAGTTATTACTTTGAGTATTGGTTGAACTATCATAAAGATGGTGACATTTTCTCATAGTGATTATGCTTCTACCAAAATGGTGACTAGTTATGATAGTCCATAATTCTAACTGGGTATTATAATATCCAATATGTCCCTGAGCTAACTGTATAGTTTCAGAAACACTTACAGGTTTAGACACATTCTGAATAATAGAGCTTTGTGAAGGTTTAGATTGAGGATGAAATCTAGGTAAGGCAGCCACTGGATTTGATGTTGGGTCTTTGTAGTGTGGACTTGTAGGCTTGAATGCATCAGGAACACCTGTATTTTAAAATTACACAACACGTTGAATATTTTCCTCTACAACAAATTTTGTCAAAATATTTCACTTTAAAATTAATATAGTAATACTCTACCTTGATTGAGTACCTCATTCTTTATTGCCTTTGAAGACGAGCTGGAATTACCTCTGTTCAAAATATCTATAAAAATTACAGTTATTTTAAACAAACAAAATTAAAATGCACTCAGACACAGAGAACAGATTGGTGGTTGCCGGAGGGGAGGAGGTTTGGGGGACTGGGTGAAAGAGGTGAAAGGATTGAGAAGTACAGATTGGTAGTTACAAAATAGTCCTGGGGATATAAAGTACAGCATAGGAAATCTAGTAAGTAATATTGCAGTAACTATGTATGGTGCCATGTGGGTACTGAAAATACTGGGGGGAACAATTTGTAAAGTGTATGATTGTCTAACCACTACACAGGATACCTAAAACCAATACAAAATAATATTGAAAGTAAAGTGTAATTGAAAAATAAAAAATAAATTTATTTTAAAACTTATTTGACTTTAATAGATAATAATAGAACAAGGTTGTATATAGACTTAAGTTCCTGTGACTCAAGCCCTCCCCTAATACCCATGCCACATTCATACCCCTAAAAGTCTAGAAGTTTCATTATGGGTAAACTGATTGGATTATCTGTACCATTACTCCTGCGTTCTAAAAGGAAAATTGTCAGAGACTGCAAAGTAAATTGAACCCAGAATTTACCAGAGTATCTCAAATCTACTACTATACCAGAAGTAAATTTGTGGCTGACATGACCCTCTGGATCAGTTTAATATTGCTCACTTTTGTATCCATGTGCACCCATAAATTGTAGGTTATTGAGGAATCAAATGAAAATTTGGAACAGTTGAGATTTGCCTAAAATTGCTAATCAGGAAAAGGTACAAGGCATTAAAAAAAAGTCCCAAACTAAATCAAACTAAAAAGGTTTTGCATAACAAATGAAATCATCAACAAAATGAAAAGATAACCTACTGAATGGGAGAAAATATTCTCCAATGATACATCAGATAAGGGGTTACTATGCAAAATTTATAAAGAACTCATGCAACTCACCCTGACCAGTTTTTCTCAGTGGTTAGAGCGTCAGCCTTTAGACCTAGGGGTCTCGGATTTGATTCCCAGTCAAGGGCATGTACCTCAGTTGCAGGCTCAATCCCCAGCCCCAGTTAGGATGCATGCAGGAGACAACCAACCGATGTGTCCCTCTCACATGGATGTTTCCCTCTCTTTCTGTCTCTTCCTCTCCCTTCCACTCTCCCAAAAAATCAATGGAAACATATCCTCGGGTGATCCTCCTCCTCCTCCTCCCTCCTTTCCACTCTCTCTAAAAATCAATGGAAAAAATATCCTCGGGTGAGAATTTAAAAAACTAACTCATACAACTTACACCGAGAAAACAATCCAATTAAAAAATGGGCAGAGGAACTGAATAAATCTTCTCAAAAGAGGACATACAGATGGCCAAGACATATGAAAAGAAGCTCATGGTCACTAATCATTAGAGAAATACAAATTAAAACCACCTCACACCAGCAGAAGGACTATCATCCATAAATCAACAAACAAGTTTTGGCGAGGATGTGTAGGAAAGGGAACCCTCATGCTCTGTCAGTGCAAATGCAAATTGGTGAAGCCACTATGGAAAACAGTGTGGAATTTTCTCAAAAAATTAAAAATGGAACTGCCTCATGACCCAGTGATTCCACTTCTGGGTCTGAAGAAATCTGAAACATTAAATTGAAAGAATATATGCAACCTTATGTTCATTGCAACATTACTTACAATAGCCAAGATATAGAAGCAACCCAAGTGCCCATCAATATATGAACGGATAAAAAGGCTGTGGAACAGCTCTGACCGGTGTGACTCAGTGGTTAGAACATTGGCCCTTGCACCGAAGGGTCTTGGATTCAATTCCCGGTCAAGGGCACATACCTGGCTTGCAGGTTTCATCCCTGGCCCTAGTTGGAGGAGTGCGAGAGGCAACAATCAATGTGTCTCTCATGCATCAATGTTTTTCTCCTCGCCTCTCTTCTCTCCCTCCCTTCCACACTCTCTAAAAACCAATGGGGAAAAAATCCTCAGGTGAGGATTAACAAGACAAAACAAAAAGGCTGTGGTACATATATACAATGAAATATTACTTGGCCATAAAAAAAGAATGATGTGTGAGAGAGACACATTGATAGGTTGGCTCCTGAATGTAAGGTGTCCTGACTGGGGCCAAAGAGTGAATCTGCAACCCAGGTACATGCCCTTTACCAGGAATTGAACCTACTACCCTTCGGTGTGCAGACCAGTGCTCTAACCATTGATAACACTGGCCAGGGCCATGCCTAGTTCATTTTATAGTTAAAGTGGCACTCCACTTAGCACCTTTCAATTTGCCACAAGAAATAAATTTGAGAATTAAATAAATTATTCTACCTCTGATGAAACTAAATAGAAGTACTATTCCAAGTTTAGAATCAAGAGAAGAACTAGGCTTTCAGAAAATAAAAACTTGTCTCTCAACCATACTATTATGCATTGCCATGGTAAGTAAGAAAATACTGGTATGCTGGCTACATTCTTTTGTAAATTCTCCTTGCTTAAAAAAGTAACTATAATGAGAAAGAATCTGTTTCCTCTTTCTCCCTTGATAGTCAGTATGTTATTCCCCTACACTTTACACATTATTGGACATTTAAAGAAATGTCATCAATATCTTCTCTTTAACATTATAACAATGATAAGTCTAATTACTGTAAATGAAATCTAATAATCCACACTGGTACTGGTCACATTCTGCTAGAAAGGTATGAGGATTAAGTGTGCTGACTACCTGTATCATCCAAGTACATAGGCTGAAGACCATGCCCTCCTCCTTCATGAATATAATCAGGAGTTGCTGGAAGATGGCTGTGCTCAGAAGCTACAGTCCATGTTGATACACAGACCAGAGATTGTATAATCGCAGTGTCTGTTCATTTTGTAGCCATGAATCAAGATGACACTGTGATATGAGAACCCTCTCAGAGACTAACACAAACTTATTTAGTATTCTGGTATTTTAAACAAAGCAGTCCAAACACTTCCTTTTCTAGGTACATTTGGGCTTTAGGGGGAAAAAGAAAAATTAACAAAAAAAAAACACAGATAAATAGGCTACTTGGTTCCACTAAAAATTATGATTTCCAATCTCAGAAGGCTTACAATACCATTAGGTACAAGTCCCAACCACATTCTCCCTCTGATTCTCACAAATTCTTAATGACCTCTATGCTCCTTCTCACCTTATAGAGCAGTGGTTCTCAACCTGTGGGTTACGACCCCTTTGGTGGTCGAATGACCTTTTCACAGGGGTCACCTAAGACCTTCCTGCATATCAGATATTTACATTACGATTCATAACAGTAGCAACATTACAGTTATGAAGTAGCAACGAAAATAATTTTATGGTTGGGTCACAACATGAGGAACTGTATTTAAAGGGCCAGAAGGTTGAGAACCACTGTTATAGAGTAACAAGGACATATTAAGACAGCACACAGGTTTTTCCAATAAAAACATCTTATAAAATTTTACCAAAAGTAAATGCTTACTTGAAATGGCTGGTTTTGAACTTGATATCTCTCCAACAAAGATCAGCTCATCATCATCCTCATCCTGCTTTTCTTCTACTTTCTTCTGCCATGGTTCCAGTTCCTCTTCTTCACATTCCATAAAGAGTTCTGCCATTTTTGAATTATCTAATTTTCAAAAGGAGAGAAGCAAATCTTATTTTTAAAATACTTTTTGCAACACAAAGTATGATATTTAACGTGTACTTTGATAATCCTAATAGCAATTACTGAATTGATATTTGTAATCAGTAAGTAGTAGCAAAATTAAGAAACTCGAAATTCAATCCCTAATATCTGAACTAGTAAAATTATGCTAACTAGATAAATAATGGATGACAATAGCTATTTACAGTGGCCAACAGATTTTAGGAACATTCAAATCCAATCAAACTGAGTTTTAGTTTTATAACTAGAATATGATTATATCTATGAAAAGGACTGTCTGTACCTATTATCTTAACCCCCACCAAACTCCTACATTAACAAAAAGGGAGATAAGCAAAGAATAAGAGGCAACAGGTAGGAGATATAATAGAAAAACTGAACCAGATTGAGGGATACTAGGCACAGAGCAAAGCAGGAATGTGGTGCTATAATGAAAATAGAGAATACTAAGCGAGGCTTATTCCATCTTAGAATAGATCTAGATATTTCTCACATGAAGAAACTAAGCAAAGAGCATACTATGAAAACCACCAAGCTACAAGTGCTGACAGAGCAAATGATCATTTTGGTGCCTCATTCTTAATAAGGATGTACAACTAATGATCATCAGAAATATGTCTAAAACTTCCAATGTGAAAGATAAAAACAATAAAACAGAATAAAATATCTCAAAGGAAACTGAGACAATATATATGGCAGGAAAACAATTAGAGAGAATATAATTAACATTTTTAGAGAGATAAGACAAGAAAGCTATTACAAGTAACATTCAGAAAACAAAAAGATAATAATATAGCCAAAATTCAGCAAAAAATCAAATGCCAAAGTTGAGCAAACATCCCATAAGTGGAACTAAAATATATATACAGGGGTGAGCAAAAGTGGGATTACAGTTGTTTGTATGGAAAATAACATAATAAATAGTAATACAAGAATAAACTGTTCTGTGTACTCACAACTGTAAATCTATTTTTGCCCACCGTGTGTGTTGGCAAATCAATTTCAAAGTTACAACTCACCTAATAAAAGTTGCAGAAAAAGAAAAAAAGAAAAAGGAGAGGGAATATAATCAAATGAAAAAATACAAGAAAAATTCCCAGTTCTTAAGGATATAAATCTCCAGATAGAAAGGGTTCACCAGCATCTAGCATAATAATTACAAAAAGAAACATACAATTGAGGGACATATTGTGAAATTTCAGAATGCTGGAGATAAGGGAATATTGTGACATCTGAGAGAATGAGAGTGGAAAGAGAGAAGTTAGAATACCGTTTTCACAAGTCTTAGTAAAAATAAATTTTAATTTAGAATTGTATAACCAGCCAAGATTTTCATTAAGTATAAGGTACATATTTTCATCAAGAATAAAGGCAAGAAACATTAGACAAAATATACCCCTATTCATCTGTTCTTCTTAGAAAGAATCCACCAAAATATGACACTTAAGAAGGAGGAGCCGTGGCAGGTGGCTCAGTTGGCTGGAGCATCGTCCGTACTCCAAAAAGATTGTAGGTTCAATTCCCAGTTGGGGCACTTACTGGAGGCAATCAATGGATGTTTCTCATTTCTCACATCAATGTCTCTCTCTCTTTCTCTCTCTCTAAAATAAACATATCAGCCCTGACCGGCTTGGCTCAGTGGACAGAGCGTCGGCCTGTGGACTGAAGAGTCCCAGGTTCGATCCCGGTCAAGGGGTCAAGGGCATGTACCTTGGTTGCGGGCATATCCCCAGTAGGGGGTGTGCAAGAGGCAGCTGATTGATGTTTCTCATCGATGTTTCTAACTCTCTATCCCTCTCCCTTCCTCTCTGTAAAAAATCAATAAAATATATTTTAAAAAATAAATAAAATAAACATATCCTTGGATGAAAATTTAAAAAAGAAAAAGGGCCTGGCCAGCGTGGCTCAGTGGTTGAGCATCAACCTATGGACCAGGAGGTCACGGTTTGATTCTGGGTCAGGGCACATGCTTTGGTTGCGGGCTCAATCTCCATTGTGGGGCATGCAAGGGGTAGCCGATCAATGATTCTCTCTCATCATTGATGTTTCTGTCTCTCTCTCCCTCTCCCTTTCTCTCTGAAATCAATAAAAATATATTTTTTAAAAAGAAAAGAAAAAGGAGGAAGACCAGGATGCAGAAAACATGATATTTAACACAATACAAAGACAAAAGAAAGTCCCAGGACAATAGCTGTTCAACAGGTCTAGAGAGTAACCAGGCAATGTAGAGCAGGAGAACATTACTCCCAGGAGGAATCTCCAGGAGAAAACACACACACAATTAAATTGATAGATTACAAGTTTTACCATGTAGAAAATCGAGTTAAGAGGCTACAGTAGGGTGTGAGATGACTTGGCTAGAGAGAGACCTTAACTAAATTTAGCAAATTTTAAAAAATAAAAAATTTAAATTGATGGCTATATTTTTTAAAACAGAAAAAAGTAAATGTATCTATAACATATAATACCATAGTACTATGCTCACCAGGGAACAAATTTATTAAGGTCATCATAACAAAAACATCAAATAGGATTTAACCAAAAATTGAGTTATAACTACGATGGGAGATGCTTGGAGGGAAGGATAATATAAGAAACCTAAAATCTTCATAGTACTTAATAGGAAATCATTAGATAATGGCAAAAACTTATGACTCAAGAGACAACATTATGTATATGTGTGTTTTAAAATTTTATAAATATGGAAGTGATGATTAGAAAAACAGCTAACCTAATAATAGTGGGTGCCTTGAAAAAAACATGGGAGTATACAGACCCAAAACACATGCATACCCATGTGCACAACCCTTTCTCTTGTTCTTTTACATCATTCAGAAACAATGGTTATGAAATTTATAACGTTCAGATTATCTGCCTTTTTAAAACTATGCATGTACTAGTATTGTTCTGGTTTAAAAAGTTGTGAGGGAATAATTAATATAATGGCAATATGGATGGATAGAAAGGGTGCTAGATATGTGGAGTGAGACGTGGATAGGGAACAACTAAACAATAAAATTAAAACAAAACAAAATAATTCCAGGGTTCTGGTTTAGACAATAATATCTTTTTTTAAGACAATTATATATGTACTTCATCTTTAAATGCAGTAATTTCTAAAGGTAATATTACTATGTTAAAATAATGTCATTTCTACTTTTAACTCAAAATTAAAAGGTACTATGTAGCTCTAGCCGGTATTCTCAGTGGTCAGAGTATTGACCCAAGCACCAAAGGGTTGTGGGTTTGGTTCCAGGTCAAAAGAAGGTACCTGGGTTGCAAGTTCGATCCAGGTTGGGGTGCATGCGGGAGGCAGCCAATCAATGTTTCTTTCTCTCTCTACCCCCCCCACACCCTCCCTCCCTCCCTCTCAGTCTCTAAAAATTCAATGGAAAAAATATCCTCAGGTGAGAATTAACAACAATAAAAAAGGTGCTATGTAAATATGATTTGGGGAGTGCATATAAAAGAAACACCTTAACGTATTGGTGTTATTTTTTAAAATCTTTAATATAATTTCCCCTTTTATACAGGTATGCCAAAATCATTTTTTGGCATAAAGTTACTTCATGGTTAGTAGTCCACCTACCATAAAAGAAAACAAAAAAACAACCTTTCCACCCTCCCAAATATAACCAATTTTATGAACTGATCCCATTCTTTCCTAAACTATACTTTAAAAAAATATACATATACATGCAGAATGCTCTAAGCCATGAACAACATAAACTGATGAACAAAAACAGATCCAGAGACAGAGAAGCATCAATCAGACCGTGAAACCTCAGAGGGAAGGTAGGGGAGGGTGGGGGTAAGGGGGAGAGATCAACCAAAGGACTTGTATGCATGCATATTAGCATACCAATGGATACAGACAACAGGGGGCTGAGGGCATGAGTGGGTGGTTGGGGCAATGGGGTAAAGGACACATATGTAATACCTTAATCAACAAAAAAATTGAATATATACATGCCATAAATCAATGAATGTTGTAACGTGGCGATAAGGACACATATGTAATAACTTAATCAATACAAATTTTTTTTTAAAAAAAGAATGCTCTAAGTCAAGCATGTGAAACTCGTGGCTGGCGACCGGCTGCGAGTTTCACATGCTTGCTCTAAGTAAAATTAAAAAGTAATTCATTGTTTAGCATTTGCATATTCTGAATACTTTGAAAATATAATCCTTATTTTGTCCCTTGAAGCCCTCATTTGTACTGCTTCTTCCATCTATAATATCCTTCCTCCTTACCTTAGACTGTCCACATTATTTAAGTATAGTAGACAGAGCATGAACTTGACATCAAATTGAATAATTCAAATCTTCATTGCACCACTTCTAATCATATGACTGGAGAAATTGCTTGGATCTGTTTCCTCACTTCTAATAATGGTATAATATCAACCTAATTGAAGTGGTAAGGTAAATTTATGAAAATGTCATACAAAGTACCTAACTTCACGCATATATTCAACAAAATATTAATTCCCTGCCCCTTCCCAACTCTTGGTTCAATTAAAATTTCCTCAACAAACCATTAAACCTTGTTTTTCTTCTGCCTCTTACTACATTGACAGTATATTCCATGCAATTTAAAATTTACCATACATGATCTCAAACTGCTCACTATTAATGTGCCTGAACTATACATGTCTTACTCAAAAGTAAGCTCCTTGACAGTGAAGAACACATTTTCTTCTTCCTTTGTATTTCCTCTCACACACAGTAGTCTACTGGATATACACTACTAGGCACTTAACATATGATAATTTACAGGCTGAGAAACTAAGCAAAGTCAGGCAGTGCTATCTTTTACAAAACAGATCCAGAGACACTGAAACATGCAACAGACTGCCATATTTCAGAGGGAAGGAGAGAGGAGGGAAGAGATTAATCAAATAACTTATATGCATAGCCCATGGACAAACAGTGTGGGGAGGGCCTGGGTAGGGGACAACTATAATACTTTCAACAATAAAGATTAAGAAAAAATAAAAAATGAGGGAGACTCATGTATACTGATAATAAAAAAATCATTTACATCCATGTTTATAGATCTCCCTCATTGTTTTAACTAGGTACTGCCACTGTCAATATATTTCAAGGTATATTGTTGAGTAAAATTATTTAAAGGCATATAAAGTATGATTTTATTTAGAAATAATTTAGTTTGCCTATATATAAAAAAAAGTTTGATTATGTATACCAAACCGATATTAGTAATTATCTCTGGAGATGAAGAAACATTTAATTTCTAGTTTACTAACATTTTTATTGTATATTATTCTTTTTTACTATGAGTATGTATTATTATAATAAATGTGTTTTTTTAAACTGTGTCCACCTATACTTTTCTTACCTTTTCTCATGGAGCAAGGTTATAAGTAAGAAAGTCACGCATACTAGTATCATTTGCAGCAGCAATACTTACTTTTTGGTTGAAAAGGTTTATTGTCATCCATCAAGTTGTAGAGTCACCTAAGCACCAATATATAACAACAATCAATTTTATGAGTCACTTTAACACCAAATATTGAAACATAAAATTGGGATTCAGAAATCTTTGGGTCTGATTTTGATCTCCAACAAACTCACCATGTGACTCCAGACAAGGCAGTAAGTTAGGTCTTAATTTTCTGACCTATAAAATAAACATGCCTACTATTAGGGTGGATTTGTTAAATTAGATGTACACACATTTAATATTTTTCTCCTATGGAAAGCTTACCTTTTGAGTTTGATGTGTTTGATATACACACATGCTACTTACTTTCCGTATTTGGTTCATTTCAGAATGAATGCAAATTTAGTAAATAGAATGCTGAATGTACAAAGCATTTATTACTTGAAGAAATTTAACGAATTATTAAATTACAAATAATCTATGAAAGGTACCCTTTTATAAAAATGAATAATCACCCTTCAATATGTTTTATTAAATGTGAATTTTGAAATGCTAAGTGACATTAATCTTTAACTGTTACTTGTTCTTCATATCATAAATAAATGTAATTATTATACAAAAGCATGTTCAAACAAATTTTTAGTTTACTTTTTTTGTTTCTTATCAATGATGACTAAAAGGAACAGAAAAGTAACTGGATAAATTTCATCAGATTGATTTTAAAAATTACTCATTGCCTTCTGTGCTCAAGGTAATGTGCTCAGTTCTAGAAAAATAATTAAGATGAATAATCATAGCCTTGCCTTCAAAAGTTTACAAACTTATATGTCTATGATTCTTTAGGCTTTTATAAAAGGTGGTACATTAAACATTATCAAAATTTTTGCTTTCTTTGAAACAGGAATTTGTGTTCAGAATTTTCATGCTCATAACATATTTTAGATATAAAATAAACATACTTAAACTATTTCAGTTATAAAATAAAAAAGTAAAAAAAATAGACATCAGAAATATGACTATTAGGATAAATAGCTAATTGAGCCTTCACATTTGTCTTTATCTGCAGACTGCAAAAGCAAGCTTTCCTAGTTTTTCCAATTCCAAATTTAACCTGAACTAGACCAAAGGGGAAATAAACTAATTTAACTCCAGAAGAAGTTACTGCTATAAATGTTTGAATTACTGATACAAGAATCTCTAGTGATTCAGTACATAAGTAAATTTCCGTAATTCTGAGGTTTGACTATTAAATCTCTTCAACTCATTATTTGGATAGTTATCACTTGTCCTGCAACTAGAATTAAGGTAATGCACATGTCAAGCAGATAAATACATGACAATTCTTGCTCAGCATGAAGGACCTACTATAATGCCAAGAATACAGAATATTTTTAAGAATCACAACTGCACAGCCCATGAGACTCATAAAGAACTCTTTTATTAGATGATCATATAAAATATCTATTGACACAAATATCTTAAAATTAGTACTAAATGTACAAATAGTATATATAAACATGTCCTATCTACTGCCTATGATTATGGAGATGGCTTTTGGGGCCCATAGCAGCCACCAAGGAGTCTCAATTAATACATTCACAAACACTCTAAAAAGTCAGAAATACTCAGGTGCCATTTAGAACCACAACTTCAGTCTAAAGCTGTGCTATCCAATAAGATAGCTGAACCTTCCAAAACTATCACCACAAAAAAAACTCTTAAGTCATCACTTCAGAGTTTTGGTTCCAAGGCAAGGAATTCTGTGGGAGATCTGTTAGAGAAATGCAGCAAAATGTGCAGCAAAATGTGCAGTGAAAAACCTTGGTGCTCCTATAATAGCAACTCCAAAGGGTGTCTAGGTTATGCAACTCAGAGTTGGCATTAAAATAGGCTGAAGAGTAAAAGACCTCTCCATTCCAGCTGTTGACTCAGAGATACTATGCCCATGTTTAGTATACTGTTCCTATGGGGGGGGGGGGATGAATCTCAAGTAAATGACTTCCAAATAACTGACAAACAACTCTTGGAACACAACCATTCAGTTTTTGGAGATTGCCTTTAAGTAGTTGCAATTACTATTTAGATAGTTTTTGTTTTCAGATTTAAATATTTAAAATTCAACACTCTTTTAAGAGTTCGTTCTACAAAAAAATTCTAAAACAATGGATTAAAATAGTTCAAATGGTACTATTTTAATCCATGGATTGCATGGAATAGTTCAAAAAGTACATTATGTGTATTTTATCACAAGGAAAATACTTAAAAATTTAATGGATACCATTTAGCACCCACTAGGATGGCTGTAATAAAAAAAGACAAATAATAACAAGCATTGGCAAGGATGTGGAAAAAGGGACACCTCATACACTGCTGGTGGGAATATGAAATTGTGCAGACACTGGAAAAACACTTCGACAGTTCCTCACAAAATTAAACATAAAGTTACCATATGACTCAGCAGTTCCAATCTTGGCAAGAGAGAATTGAAAACATATGTCCACACAAAAATCTGTACACAAATATTCATAGCAGCATTATTGATAATGACCAAAAAGTGAAAACAATCCAAATGCCTGATTGATGAATAGATAAACAAAATGTGACATACCTATACAATGAAAGAATATTCAGTTGTAGAAAGGAATCAAGTACTGATACATACTATGATATGAAGAGATCTTGAGAACATTTTAGTAAGTGAAAGAAGCCAGTCAAAAAGACCACATATTGTGATTTCATGTATATGAAATGTCCAGAAATAGCCAAGTCATAAAGACAGAAAGTAGAATAGTGGTTGCTTAGGTCTGGGAGGGCTGGGGGGAGATGGGGTGTGACTCTGAATGGGTATGGGATTTCTTTTGGGGGTGATGAAAATATTCTAGCCTGGCTGGCGTGGCTCAGAGGTTGAGCCTTGACCAGGAGGTTACGGTTCAATTCCTGGGCAGGGCACATGCCAGATTCCCTGTGTGGGGCATGTGGAGGCAGCCGATCAATGATTCTCTTTCATCATCGATGTTTCTGGCTCTGTCTCTCCCTTCCTCTCTGAAATCAATAAAAAATATATATTTTTAAAAAGTAGTGGCCATCTAAAAAATATTCTAAAATTGATTGTGGTGGTGTTTGCTCAACACTGTGAATATACTAAAACCAATGAATTGTACACTTCAAATGGGCGAATTGTATGTTATATGAATGATCTCAATAAATCTGTTAAAAACAAACACACATCATATCACATCACATCACATCACATCACATCTTCTCTATTCATTTATCTGCCCATAGATGCTTAGATTGTTTCCACGCAATGGTTATTGTAAATAATGCTGCAATAAACATGGGGGGGGGGTAGGTATCTTTACTTCGGATAAATACCCAGAAGTAAAATTACTGGATCCTATCAGTGCTCATGCTTTTGTCTGTATTTACTACTGCATTGTCATCAAGTACCGAAACTTTAATTGATGCCGACTAATAAAAGATCAGAGGGAGAGAGTATTTAAATAACACATTTAGCTATAGAAATGAAGGTAATGAAAAGGTTCAAATAGAAAAATCTTGCTATTGTTTAGATAGATATGAATTATAGATATGAAAAACTAAAAAATAGGCAGTGACTTTATTTCATAAAAATATATTATTCGTTCAATGTATTAACATTGATTCAAATAGCATTGCTTTTTTAGTTTTATTTAATTATTTGCTTTTTGATATATGAAAATCTATTACTATCCTGTTTTCACCATCAAAACTTATGATCTTGTTCTTTCCTTCTTGTCTTTGTATAAAGCCAAAAGAGAGACAGTGGCTACTTTGACAACCTTAAAGCAGACTACAGAAATGTCCCCAACAGCATGACCTTTGCAACCAAAGCCAGCGAACAGAACATCATTTTCCTCAATAAATTTCAAACAATCATCATTGGGTACAAAGACTGTGATTTTTGGGGGGCCATATTTGATCAGCTGGACCCTGA